TAAGCCTACCTTCCTGGACCTCGAATCTTTAGTAAAGTGTTTGTTTTTCAGGTGATAACCTAATGTCTTCCCTTCATTTTAAGAAAGATTTCTTGTGAATATGTCTGCTTATATCCTTAAAGCTGGAATAAAACAAGGGAAGTGTTGTTGAGCCTATTCAGGAAAGAGGTTTAGATAGTTAGTGTATGGACTTCAGCTGGCATGAGGGAGGGATCCCAGACTCCCTCAGGGTGAAGACTAATGATGGACACGGTCCTCTCAGAGCACCTCTATTGCTGTGCATGCTTTGGGATGTTTCATCTTTTCTCTTTAACCAAAGAGGTCATTCTAGTCTACCAACCTCTGTGTCTAAAATTATATGTGTTGTCCTGGAAAGCCATCCCACTTTCTGGGCCACAACAGGGGGAGTGTCATATTTTCTACTTTTCTGGGTCCCTCACCCACAAAGTCAATTGATCACTCCTCACGTGGGAGCAGATGCGCCCATACTGGCAGAAGAAAGACCTACAATGGCTTTACCCAATATGGTGGCCTCTAAATTCATGTGGCATTTAAATTGACAATGAAATTCATTAAAATTCATTAAAATTTGAAATGTAATTCTTGAGACACACAGTTACAGTTCAAGTGCTCAGTAGCTGCACATGGCTGGTGGATACCGTATGAGACAGCATACAGCATTGCCACCATCGCAGAAATTTCTATGGGACTCACTGGCCTGGGCCCTTGTGCGTGACTGTAGATGGCTGAGGTCTGACAACGGGATGCAAAAGCTGTCTTCACTCACAGACACCTTTCCTCGACGACTAATCACTCTATGGGGCTGTGTGCAGCTTTCCTGTGCTGTCAGCAAAACAGTAATGATGACGGCAATGATAATTCCAGCCTGTGGTTTATTTTTTTAAGATTATTTATGCATACAAGAACTGGGGTGTAAGCCAGAGGTGCAGGGGAGTGGGTGAGCGGTGAGTGGTAAGAGGATTCACCAGGAGTGGGGAGCAGAATAGGTGGACGTACTGAAATACACTGCTGAGGGGAGCAGCAGGTGAGTCCGCTCTCTGGCTGGGGATTGAACTCGTGGCTGGCGATAGCTTGATAGAGCTGTCTTTAACCCATGCGCCCCTGGGGAGGCCCCATTTAGTCCTTTTTTTTTTTTTTAAAGATTTATTTATTTACGCATACAAGAGCTGGGGTACAGGCCAGAGGTGGGGTGGGGTGAGAGGATCCACCAGAGAAAGAGTGGGGAGCAGAAGAGGCAGATTGCCTGAAACACTGCTGAGGGGAGCAGCGGGCCATTCAGGAGAGTCTGCTGTGCCACGTGGGTTGCTCCCTGGCCGGGGATCGAACTCGTGCTGCAGAGGCTGCCAACAGCCTCATAGGTTGTGTCTCAACCCCCAGGGCCACCAGGGAGGCCCCCCCATTTAGTTCTTAATGCCCCAAACAGTGTGTTAAAGGCTTAGAATATATGATGTCATTTAATTACTACCACAGCCCTGAGAAAGACACTAGTATTATCTCCATTTTTACAATGTAAAGCTGAGAGTCAGAGATGTTAAGTGGCCACATAGCTATTAGGTTATCACATGAAATCGCCACTATTCAGCCATTTTTGATGAAAATGGCAATTTCATATGGTTCAACCTCTAGGAATGGTCAGAGCCAGGTTTCAACCTAGATCCTAAGACCATGTCAAGGTTAACGAGGCTGAGCTTCCCCCCTGTAAGTGACCCCATTTTAATATTTCACAGGACTGTTGAAGGACTAGGTGAAGTAGTGTCCCTTCTGTGCCTGGTGCACAGCGAAACTCATAGAATAGCAGTTCTTTTTGTTTTAACTCCCTTCTATCTGTCAGTCTCACTCTCTTGGGAGGCAGAGCACAGCTGTCTAAGCAGATGTGACCAGTGAGAATGAGGGGAGGGGGCCGCCGCCATTGACCAAATCCTCTACCAGGGATCTGGAAAAGTTCAGCTTCCCCACCGAGATCTCCGTCCCTTCCCCTGGCTGGACTTGACCCCTCTCTCTGGGAGTCTCTTCAGCTGGGCAGGTCAGAGTTCTCTCTGGGTGTGAAGCAGAGGGAGGAGTGAGGGATACTGGCCTTCCTATTCCTGCCCCCTTTCCAGCCCCAGCAGATGCACTTCATTAACAACCCCCTCCCTCGGGATCTGAGAAGGAGCAGGAGGCTGGAGGTGGACTGGAAGGGGCGGCTGCTGCAGTGAGGCTGTCAGATGGTGACACAAGCTGTGCTCCCGACCTCCTGCATGTTGTGACTCTGTTTTCATGATTGTTTCTGGCAAAGAGCCTGATTTGAAATTCCTCCTCCTTTCACTTGGCAAGAAGGGAGACAAGTTCCCCAGGGCTGTGGGGCCTTGTTGTTTGGATGGGATTTTAGGACTTGGGGGTAAATTCCATCTTTAGGAGGAAACTTTGCGTCTCAAAAGCAAGTATAAGGTTGCTGGATTTAGGAGTGGAAAGCACAGGATGCCCAGTTCCATGTGAATGACAGATTAGAAGTATATACCATGCAATATGTAGGATCCATTTCTATTAAAAATTATCTGAAATTCAAATTTACCTGGGCATCCTGTATTTTAATTAGCAGCCTTACAGTAGTAGGGCTTCTGTTTGCCATGCACCTATCAGGTCTTTTATGATGATATTAGGATGCTTAAAGTAAGGGGGAGAGAGACTCCGATCCAGTTTTGCCAGCTGCACCCTAGTTTCATAGTCATTCCTCATGAGAATGAAGTGATTTAACCATGGTTCTCAAAATGATGCTGACACACAAACTTTAGTTTGAGCAAGAGTCAGGGATTAGACAGACTTGGGCTTGAAGCCCAGTCCCACCATTTACTGGCTGTGTGAAGTGGGCTAAATTACTTGTCCTTTCTGAGTTTGTTTCTTCCTAAATGAAAAAAGAAACATAGTGCCTTATTTAGGGACATATTAAGGATTAGATGAAGTTAACTATTGTAAAATGCATCCATAGTGCCTTTTTAAGAAAGCACAAAATGATTGCTTTTCTTTATATGACACGAGTGTAGATCTAGTCATTCCCTGAGACAAACCTGATGCTCAATATGACAGGCCCCAGTTATGGGGGCAACCTCTGTTTGTTAGATCCAAGAGTCTTCACATGCTAGGACTTCAGTTTCCAATAGTTTTATAGAAGGAGAAAGGGATTAAGAGGAGGAAGGGGCAGAGAGAGGACTCAGGATGACCTGCTGTGGTAACTGGTTTTCTAGTCCACCGCCAATGAAGCCACGCAGAGGGCCCAGTCAACTGAATTCCCTTTGTTTAGTGCTTGGTGCAGAACTAATGTCCAAAAGGCAGGGATGGTTTTCTTTTTTTCTCCTGGAAAGGAGTCCTTTCGAGGAGAGGACACACGGGGCTGCAACCAAGGGAGGGGGACTAGCACACTTCGGCATGTTTTACAGGTCAAGGCTGGGGACTCCCATCTTGTCAAGCCCGAGATCTCTCAACTTCAGCACTGCTGATATTTAAGTCAGATAATTCTTTGTTATGGGGCTGTCCTGGGTGTGTTCAGCAGCATCCCAGGTCTCTACCTATTAGATGCCTGGTGTTCCCCTCGTTCTCTGTCCTAGCAGTGGCAATGAAAACATCTCTAAATATTGCCAAGTGTGCTGGGGACAGGGAGTGGGGTGGGGGCTGGAGGGTGGGAGAGGCAACAAATCGGTTGAGAACCATTGGTCTACAGAATCTGCTATACAATCCCCACTCAAACAATTTTAACAACTACCGTTTATTGAACATTTACATGTATTATCACCCATCCCCATGCGAATATTACAAGGTAGGTCTTATTACCCAGGTTTCACAGTTGAAGAAACTGAGATTTGGACAGTTAAAATAACCTGCCTTATATACAGCTGGTGCATCTGGACTTCTGACCGAGGTTGGTCTAACTCCAGGTCTTCTGTGGCCCTCTCCAGAAAATTAAGGAGGTTTTTTTTTCTTTAAAGTGAGAAAATTCTTCTCTACTTGAGTCTCGATATGTTTATTATGAAGCCACGAGAAGCGACAAGAGAAATGTAAGATGTTGCTCCTCTAAAGGAGTGTTCAAAAACAGGGCAGACACCCACAAAATGTAGTGAGTTAAAGAGCACTATGAGGCAGGCCAAGTTTAGGCCAAAATGAACATTTCTAGGGGTTGATCTTCGTGAATCAAGCATCCTGTGCGTACGTCTGCATCACATGCCCTTTCACTTTCAATCTGATAATAAAACATGCAAGGAGTTTTGATTATTATGGCTTTGTAGTATAGTTTGAAATCTGGGAGAATGATGCCTCCATTCCTTTTTTTTTTTTTTCCAGGAGGGATTTGGCTATTCGGGGGTTTTGGTGGCTCCATATGAATTTCATCAATATTTTTTCTATTTCTTTGAAGAATGACATTGAAATTGTTATTGGAATAGCATTGCATCTGTATATTGCTTTTGGTAGGATGGCCATTTTGATAATATTAATTCTTCCAATCCATGAGCAGGGGATGTCTTTCCATTTCTTTGTGTCTTCTTCTATTTCTTTTAACAGTGTTTTATAGTTTTCTTTGTATAGATCCTTTACTTCTTTTTTAGGTTTATTCCCAGGTATTTGATTTTTTTTGTTTCAATAATAAAAGGAATGGTTTTCTTGATTTCTTCACTCATACCAGGAATCTGGAAAACCTAAATAAGGGACCAGGAAAAAGAATAACTATAAGAAAGAAAAAATCAAAATCAACAAACAACTATGAACCAGAGACACACTATGGGGGTGTGGGGGAAGGAGGAGTTGGGGTCAAAATAAGGGAGTTGCAATTGTATGGGGAATATAAAAATAAAATGAAAAAAATGTATTCGGAAGAAGAAAAAATACACAAAATAAATAAAATTTTTCTACCAAATAAAAAAAAAAAAACATCCAAGGAGGAATGGAGCCTAGGCCTTCACGGGACCACCAGCTACATGTAGAAAATACTCACTCTGCTGTCTTGCGGTGGGCTATGGGCTGCTTCCAGCCACACACTCTGCCATCTTCTTTCTGGCTCTCTGCATGAATTCCACATTTCCCCTTTCCCTTCGGATCGTGGTGTACTCATAAGCCTTGAGCTTGCTGTAGTAATCAGAGAACTTGTTGTAGAGGATGGAAATGGGCATCCCATTGAGGATAATCCCAAAAGCAATGCAGAGGAAGGCAAAGAACCTGCCCAGGTGGGTCTCTGGGTACATGTCTCCGTAGCCCACAGTGGAGATGCTTACCTGTACAGGAAGGACGCAGCTGTTAGCACTGTGAGGAAGGGAGGGAATCGGGCAGACAAGTGTTCAGTCTCCCTGACGGGACATGTGGCTTGTGTTAACAGCGCCCCCCAGAGCCAGCTTTAGGAGGTACCAGAAAGTTTGCCTGCAGGTCCTGTGTGATGGCAAGAACACAAGTTTTGGAGCTAAAAGACTTGGGTTTATATCCTGACTATCACTTACATATTTTCTTTTCTTCAATATGGGGAGATAAGGCCTACTTCAAATGGTTGTTGTGAAGTGTGCACATGATAATCTGTCAAGTTTCTGGTACAGAATGGGCTCAATAAATGTGACCTTTTCCTTCCTGCAGCAGGGGGGGAGCTTTAGGACCAAAGTCCCTGGGTTTGCTACAACATAGAAGTCCTGGAAAGAGTGCTTTCTTCCAACCAGTCAGACCTGGGTTCAAGTCCTGACTCTGACCCTTGCCAGCTGAGTGACCTTGGGCAAAACATTCAGAGTCTTTAAGTCTGTTTGTACATCTGAAACAGGAGGATGATGCCTAACTCTCCGGAGTCTCACGAAGACTCAGTAAGGAAATGAATGTAAAGAACTTACCAGAGTTTTGGGCACATAAAAGGCGTTAAACTATACCTCCTCTGTGTCATTCTTCTCTCATCTTCAGAATGGAGACTGTTGAGTTGTTATGTAGTTGTTATGTCATTTCTGAGAGTTGTTACGTTAATATTTCTGAGATTTGTTATGTTACAGCACCATGAAGGTGCTTTAATTGTAGATATCTGGAGAAACACACTCATTATTTTGCAAAGGGATTGCTGTAAGATATCACCGACCAAAAGCATGCTCACCCTGCATAATATTCTTCCCATCACTCTTGTCATATGGCTTTAAATTTCACTAATTAGAGATCTATTTAGGTTAACAAGCTTCTGTTTAAAAATACAGATACCTGTGGGACTAGTTATCAGTCAGTGTAGGCTGAGAAATCCCAGGAAAATCTCTCAGGGTTTGTTTGTTATGCTTCATGTACCAAGACTTCCTTTTGTCCCCAGACCATTGCCAAACTGACTAAGCAGGTCTGTTACTTACTGTTGGGAAAAAATGTGTGTTGCACAACTCCAGGGGGCATTATTTGCTTCACTGATTTTTGCCATAATTTTCCAGCAGATGGTAGTAAAGTTCCTAAAGTTTTGCTGTTGATTCTTACTGAGATGGCCTTTAGCTTAGAAAAGTAAATATTTTTGTTTTGTTGATGCGAGAGTTCCTTTGAGCTTAGCGGAACTGTGAGTGGTTAGTTAGAACAGAATAGAGAGGGCCCAGCTGAGCAAATTGGCTGGAGCTGATGAGAACCACAGTTCCATCCAGCCTCTGGAAAGGACAAGGTTGTGCCTCTTCTTCAGGATGGGAGACACACCACCTCCCACTGCTCTCCCACCCGTGAGAGACCTGCTGAGGGACGGGCCGTGCATTCCCAAGGTGGGAGATCACCATCAAGCTCCTAAGAGGGGCAGGGTGGTGTAGATGAGGGTGAGAAAAGAGGTGTGGCACTTGACTCCTTGAGTCTGAAGCCATTTCCCAACTATGAGTTGGACAAGGTGCCTAAATGCAATTGCCTAAATACTCCTGTCTCAGAAATAGGCGTTTCAGTGTCTATTTCTGAAATGCCATGAGAATAGTAGTACTTACCTTTCTGGGCTGTTTTGGGACTTGAAGGAATGCCTGGCTCAGGGCATCTAGGCCATCATGTTCTTATGCTTATTAAACCAGTGACCATGCCACAAGGTCCTCCCTGGCTCCTGCTGAATGCCACGTGCGGGAGGTTGGACGGCTGCAGTAGAGAGTCTCCCTTCCTGCCTTCCGGACCAAAAGTTGATGAGAGGCAGTGATAAAGTGAGGTCATGGGTAGTCTCAGAGTGTGCTTGTGTGCTTTTGTGCCCGTGTGTGTGTTTCTTTGTCACAGGCCACACCAAAAGTAAGGACCTGGGTCAGATCTCTGTCCAGGCATATGAATCAAACAATAGCTGTTGTATGTCACTAATGTCATCGCTTACACGTCTGTACAGTTGTTGACCCTCGAACAATATGGGTTTGAACTACATGGATTCACTTGCACATGCAGTTTCTTACATAAGCACTTATAACAGATGATATAAACTTGCAATGTTGATAAATACAGTACAGCACTGGAAATATACTTCGTCCTCCTTATTTTCTTAACATTTTCTTTTTTTCAACTTACTTTATTGTAAGAATACAATATATAATATACATACAAAATACAGGTTAATTGTTTCTTCATGTTTTAGGTAAAGCTCAACTGCAAACCATTAGTAAAGTTTTGGGGGGGCATCAGAAATTACACATGGATTTTCGACTGTGTGGAGGGTGAGTGCCTGGCCCCTGTGCTGTTCAAGGGTCAGCTGCACTCTCTGTGGACAAGGCTAGAGTTTACAGAGTGACAGGAAGAGAGAGTTTTGGAACATGAAGCATTTACAAAAGGACAAAGCAGAGGTTTTGGGGTAAGCCCCCCAAAGGTGCAGGGTGGAGGCTACAGAGGAAGGAAAACAACTTAGACAGAGTATTGTGACGTTTTGAGCAATGTCCACACTGGCTTTGCTTCACTCCCAACCTCATTTTTTCTTTTCTTTTTTTTGGCTGAACTTTGAGTGAAGAGTCAAAAGCAAAGAGAATTGGCTTAAGAAAGACTTGATAGTTGATGTGTATAATATGGTCTAAATATTTTTTGTATATCTTAGATTTCTATTTTTAGAGAAAAGATCTTTTCTTTTAGGAGACTCTGTATAACAATTTCCAAAGCATTTGCTCAAAATGCATAGCTAATTTATTCATTGTCTGTTTTATGGATAATTTGACTCAATAAGTGATCTGCATTTTGCTCTTTGGCTTCAAGAAGAACTCAGAATCCCTTGGCCTTAGGGGATGTTTTCTCCATGTTCCACAGGCCAAACCACTTCTCCCTGGATGAGCATTAAAAATTGAAGGCCCTAAATTGACCCAGGTGACCTCACAAAGTGAGTTCTCATATTCAGGGGAGTTGGGTTTGAAAATGTGACCTTCTGAATATTAAAAAAAAAAAAAAAATGAAACAACTGGCTGGCTCAGCTATTCTGTAAAGTGGAAACTTACCATTCTGTTGAAAATATGCACGTTTTGCCTATTCGTTAGCTCCCCAAAGCCAGTATGAGCTCTTCCTCCAGCAGCTTACCCACTAATCAGCAAACCCTGGCCTGCTAAACATTACCAGGAGGACAGCGTCCATTTTTTTCTCTGAGCCCTTAGAATGACTATACTTGAAATTCTCCTTCAACAAGGAATGTTTAATTCCTTCATAACAAACTAGGCTTAGATAAAACCTTGGCACCTGGTAATGTACCTAGGTATTACAATCCCAAAGAATAAAAACTGATTTTTCAAAATATAACACCCCCTCTTATTTTCCCCAAAGAATCTGAGGTGGTAAAGATTAATGTTTTCTAGCTAAAATTACTAATAGCTCAGTGCATGCTGCCCTTCAAGGGATTTAGTTTCAAAGACTATACTTAGCATATTCATGCTGTTGTTGCTATAAATATCTTAGGAATTCCTCTTTTGGATTATAGTCTGCGCAAGAATCAGTAGCATGGCCTTGAAACAAGTAGTCTTATCCTCCTCTGGGTGCCACTCTCAAACTTAAAGGTCTTGACTATTTAAAAATATTGAATCCACTCTCAAAAAGGTAAAGATTTAGCACCATGAGAAAAAAAAAAAATAGACATGTCACAGGCTCTGAGGATAATTCCCCTGTGGAATTCAAAGAATGATCAGGGAAAGCACTGTTAGAATTAGGTCAGGGGTGACCACCTTGAAGAGAACCACCACCCTCATCTGTATATTAAAGTTCTGATGTGTGTATAAATTGTGTGCCAGGGGGAGATGTGTAAAAGCAAAGGCAAGTTTGGGATCTACTAATCTCTCTATAGTGTGGTTCATCACCTCTCCCCATAATGCCGAAGCTCTATCTTCTCAGCTTACTTGGTACATACAGTTCTATCATGGCCCTCTTGAGTTACACTGGCCAAGAGGAGAAGCATAGCTTAAAGAAAAAAAGGGGCTACCCCAAATCAGGAGTCTACAAGATCACAAGTCATATAAGAATCTAATAGCCATGACACCATTTACAACCCCTGTGCCATTTCTGAAGGGGCTAGACCTTTAATGTCTTCTGTACCAGCCATTTACCTGTTTCAGTTCCAAGCCTGACACCCTTCTGAACCCTTTTCTGTGATTTGCAGCTGGAAGTCTACAGAACACATTTCCCAGGCACCTTTGCCCTCTGTCTTCTGGTTGTGTTCTGCCAAAGAGAGACGTTGGGAGACTGGAAGGTGAATGAGGAGAGAATGATCTCTCTCTGTACTTGCAATTTCTGCTGTCATTCTCCAATAGCAGCAGGTAGCTGTGGCTCAGGCATCTCTTGGCTCTCCCACCACAGTGCAACCTGCGGTGCCATCTGAGGGGTCCCTGTAACAGTCACACAGTGGCTTCACCTCTGTACTACTAGGTTGGGCAACTCAACCTGTTCTTATTTGTTGCCCTAGTTCTAAGGCGGGCAGATACTTTCTCCGGCTACCAGTCTTTGGGTTATCTCACATTCCCGTTTTTGTTCTTGCAGTCTTCCAGCACCCATATATCTAACTCCCTGTGTCAAGTTCCCTTTGTTTTCCATTTTCCTGACTGTAACTTGACTGATTCTTCTTCCAAATTGGTCTCCTAAATCAAGCAAGCAATCAATAAAAATGAAACATAAAGTAAAATAAATCTCCGTGAACTTCTAAATGCCACCTATTTGCAAGGAAATGATAACATACCTTTAAGAAAACAAAAATGGGAGCAAGGTCTCTGGAGCATAATTATCTGATGCCCTGACTACAGATAAATCTTTTTGAAGAGTTGTTGTTGTTGGTTTGAAGAAATGAGTTCATGACACAGTTTCCCAGTTTGGCTTC